GGGGGGGGGGGGGGGGGGGGGGGGGGGGGGGGGGGGGGGGGGGGGGGGGGGGGGGGGGGGGGGGGGGGGGGGGGGGGGGGGGGGGGGGGGGGGGGGGGGGGGGGGGGGGGGGGGGGGGGGGGGGGGATTGGGTGCATGAAAACTTATGTCAAACCTTGGTTTGTCCCGTTCAACTCATTTTGACATGTTTTACCACTATTAGCCTATACTACCTTAAAATTTATTAAATATAGGTCCAATTATGAGGAATTGTCATGAAATTAATGTATTACTAATGAATTACAAGATAAAAGGAATTAGCGGTCCAACTAAGTATCATATCGAGCTCTTAAACAAGTTTTAATTTATTATATTCATGCAAAGCATGTTGATTGTGTGATTAGGAGCTAGATTGATAAACGAATGTATATAGTATTAGTTAAATGATAATAATCGTGAATGCATGCATAATATGTGAGCATGTTAGAAATTCATGATTAGTTTGTATGATGTATATTCTGATTTATACTTACGAGTTTGTTATCATATGAGATGTGTATGAGTATTCTTAGTCTACTAATTTCCGTGGAACTCCTGACCGATACACTATATACTATGTTAGGAACAATGAGTACTCTTGACCGTCGAGCTGTGTGCTACTTCAAGCTGTCAGAGAGTTTAGTATACAGGCCATATTTGACTAAGTGCGGTCGAGATGATGATGTAGACGAACTGGAGACATTAGAAATTCTAATTAGACCCGAGTCTATTTCGGTTGTAGTTACTTTTGTTCTCTTTTGAGAACTTGTACAAGATGTTTAAAGTTTTAAGTCGTAGGTAACTTAATTGTAAATAAATGTAAAATATGAAATGATTTCTGTAAAATATAATCTACGTTAGTAATAACAACTATAAATTGAGATTTTCTATGAGCGGGTGTTAGATTAGCTATCTATTTTCATACTCGATTCAATCATAAATATGCTAACAGACCTTATGTTCGATTCCTAATCAATTTCTACAAAGGAAAATTTTGTGGTGAAAATACTAGTCGACCAAACCACTAGCAGATATTGTCTTTAGCCTATTATGTATAGTGGTCACCCTCACGGTTTTAAAACGCATTTGTTAGGGAGAGGTTTCCACACCATGTAAATGTTTCGTTTTCCTTCCCAACCGAGCTAAGATCTCTCCACAAATTTTTTGTTTTTATTTGAATTAAAATTATGTATTATTAATATAATTATTTACAAATGAGTGCAAATGGTTGAATAAGAAGATACCTATCAATTAGTACGTTTCATACAACACCTCAATCAGTCGAGTCATATTTAAGTTCACACGACAACTTAAACTTTTAGAACACGTAAATTAAAAATTCGTGGTTCAGTCGAGTCATCTTTAGGTTTCGGTTGGATTAGACTACTATGATTGGTACATTTTGCAATATTTTAACTTTTAGAACACGATTTCCACGATTTCTAGTTGAATTTGTTATAGATTTTGAGTCTTTAGATAATTTTAGACATAAATATTAAATTAAAAATTAAGGTTTTAAAATAGAAATAAATTGATGTACGTGCTCAACTACTTTATTTATTTATATATATATAAAACGGTCTTTTTTGAAAATAATGCATCTAATAAGAAATTAATAATGGTTGGAATCTGTTGACCAGCCTAGTTTCTAGCTCCACGTGAAGCTTAAAAATATAAGTGATGATATTGTTATAAACTTTGACTTGACCAAAAAAAAATAAAAATAAATAAATAACAAGAAATGAAGAGAGGAAACAAGAGAGAAAAGACTTAAACGGACTAAATAGACACAAATCTCTATTGTTTCGCGATGGTTGAAGGAGGAGTAGTAGAGCCATCCGACACCAGAGGAAGCACCACAATCCCAAAAGACGTGCGTGCATGAATGAAGGGAGAAGGAAACGACTTGTTTGCATGCGTGGGAACCGTGTGTGTGCCATCAATTTGTGTGGACTACTAGTTTGCACAGACCGTTTACTAGTTTGCATGGACTGTAGATTGGATACCGCTAAATTTGGTTCAATTTAAGGGTATATATGGTCCGGGTTGGGTTAGAGAATTTTTTCGACCCAATCCAAAAGTTCGGGTTGGTTGGATTGGTAACCCAACCCAACCCGAAACTTTTCACGACTCAACCCAACCCAACCCTCTATTTTCGGGTTTGGGTTGTCAATTTTTTTTTTTTAAGTTTTATTTATTCACAATTTATAATTTTTCGAATACAATCTAAAATATATTAAAAGTTCACAAATAAACACAAATTGATCTATAATTATTGACAAAAAAAAATAATAATAATAAATTAAAAAAAACAACGAGCGAAAATTGTAACATAGTTCAACATTGTCATAAAACTAAAAACAATTAAATACTGATATTTTTTAAAAATTAGTTAAAATAACAAAAATACCAAGATAAATCATAAAATGAAGTAAAGAATAAAAATGATTAGTTTGAGAGTACTGTATATAACAAAAATAAAAAATATATAAAAATATTTTAATTGAAATATACTCATTTATACCTTACCTTAAACTAAAAATAAATATATATATAAATTGTGATTTGGTGCAACAAATAAATAATAAATATATTATAATTTAGAATTTGTTTTAAAATTATATATATAAAAAATTCTGAATTATATGTATAAAATTTATTAATAGTTATGGGTTATTTTATTCTAAAGTATTTTTAAAATAGTATGAAATATTAAGGTATTTTTAAAATATAGATACATAAAAGAGACTTAACAAAGAGATTAAAAATAATTAACAAAGAAATTAAAAATAATAAAATAAATTCTTAAACATAGGTATAAATTATAATTAATAAACATTTGAATTATAT